AAGTTCTCCTGTACTCTGGTCAAGAAGGGACCCGTCGTCACGATGACCTCTTCGTCAGGATTGTCAGCGAGGCGATATGAGAGCCAAGACGTGGACAACCAAGAAGGCTGTGAGACACGACTGTTGCCTCCTCAGTGTCTCGATACAGATCCACAACTTGTACAACTCTCAGGTTTACCGTGTGAGTGTAGCATTTTCCCCAGAGGTTTTGATGTGGATGAATTACCTGCGTGGTGTAGGTGTCTCCTGTGTAGCGACACTGCCCGGGTGTTGCCCCTCGATGTGTTCCCGGTCCTTGGTCACACCTACTACCTACACTTTTACCGTAACTGCAAGCAAACACCCGACTACAGACACAGATTACTCTGTTCACTGGGTAGTCAAGATGGACGATTGCTCGATCGTGGCAACAAAACTTTCACTTCCCGTCGCGGTGGTCACAGCATCACTCTCCTTCAGGACGGACCTATGTACAAAAGACCTAGAGTAGAACTTCTTCTAAACATGCTAACCTTACCTGATGTCTGTTTGGTATTCATACTGAAATATGAATTACTATCCCAGGAGGAGAAATGTTTCTTCACCAGAGTATTAACTATATACCTAGGAAGAGCAGTGGATAGCAAAGACTTTTATTATCGTACCTGTCTGCAAGAGCTAAAGGCTCTTAGAAATTACATACAAATTAATGAAAACTCTTCATTTCTGTATGAAGGAAATCTAAGTTTGCATTTCCAAGTTACAGGATCTTTACCTCGGCTATGTGTTATTTGTTTCATGTACACTAAACATCATCTAAGCACACCTCACTGCTCGACCTGTATCATCAACTCCTTTATTAGTAAGGACAAGAAATCAGACGTTTCTTCTGGGAGAAACTATTACCTGTTGGTAAAGGCGGAGGATGAGGCTTGTCTATCATGTCTTAAAGATTTACCAACAACTTCGGGACTACTTGAAGCTCAGGTTCTTCACCACCAAGGGGAAGTTAATGTTTCGTTCAGAACGAGTGAGACAAACTTCCTGCCCAACAATACTCAATACAAATTTAAGATGACACTATTAAACCTTGGTTTAAAAAGTTGTTCTTCCTTATCTTACCTTCGTCTGGAGTATCCTTTTGATAAGTACTGGTATGTTCATAATGGTTCAGACGAACTGATTAGTCAGACAAGGAATCCGTGCTTAGAAAACATTGGGACTATTTGTCGCTCTGTCCAGAATTCTAAGGAGTTGAAAATATTTGAGTGTCTTTGGATTAAGCTCGTCTTTCTCATAAAGTGTCATATTAAACACTTGATGAATTATTATACAATGTTAGATATGTTTCACTGTAACCAAACGGATGATCTGTCATCTTTGTGTGAGCGTAGACTCCATCTCTCCCGCTACTTGCATCCCTCCAACAAAGTCTTGGTACTGATAATGGATCAGAAATATCATCGCAGCCTTTTCGATAAAATTTATCTACAGCGTCTCAATCAAGTCACTTTAGATACAGATCTGATTTTTGAAATCTTTTATACCAAATACCGATCAGCAGGGGAATGTGTAGCTGCGACAGACCTTCAACAACTGGGATCATTGCTTCTCAGCCCTTGGGGACACAGACACCTCGTGAGTCGTTGTTTTGTCATCAATAATCCATCCGAGGATGTATACTTCAACTTCTTTCAGATTCCCGACACTGGTTGCGTGAAGTCAGAAACTATCACCACAAACAACATTACCATAAGTATGATGTCGACAGAAGATGAGGAACTCGATGGTCTTGACGACGACAACTGGTATAAGATGAATCACTCCTGCAGAAGAATATACATGAGGCCGCCAGGACTCGCCTGTCCACCTTTAACACCGCACAGTCCAGACTTTCAGGCCGTATTAGACGTGGCTACAGGAGCCATTGCCAACGGAGACACCTTGTGCTTAAAGGCGCTGTGTTCTGGAAAGTTTAACTTGCGGGGTGTTGATGGAGACGGCGTTGCTCTGGTTGGACCGGTTACAGACACACTGGCAGGAGGAAATTGTTTAAAGTATTTACCGCCTCGCTTCTGGAAGTGGCTGCAGGAGGCGTATAATAAACGTCGCGTGACCATAAATAAATTCTGGAGCACAGACTTAGTGGACTACATGGTGTTATATCCCTTAACGGGTCCCCAGGTGATTGTCGACTGGAGTTATGTGTCACACAAGTGGTGGGAGGTGTCACTGTGCCTCGTGGCAGCTGTGGTGACTGTTGCCATAATATCGGGCAACACGCTGGTCCTCGTCACTCTGATTACCGGCGGCCATCATGGGGAGCCACAAAGTTTACTCAGAGCCTCACTGGCTGTTGCTGACCTGCTGATGGGGTTGTTCCCAGCCACTCTGGCTGTCCACGACCACGTAGCCATCACCCTCGGCTCACTCGACATCTATGACCTCGACACCGAAGCTTTATTTGCCTACATCACTGTCTCACAAAAAGATTTCCCAACTTTGTTCCGACAGTTGTACTTTAAACGACCTGGCTACCCAGCCTTCTGTGGCTTCATCTTCACCTTGTCAGTGACAGCTTCCCTGCTCACGCTCCTTTCTCTCAGTCACGAGAGGTACACGAGGACCTCCAGACCACTCAAGGTAAACAGGCTTATCACTCTGTCTAAAGTTATGACGATGATCTTCGTCGCCTGGGTGTTATCTTTGTTATTTTCAATCATAGTCTTCTTAACTCGGGAAGAGTCGGTGAGGTTCATAGGCTTCTTCGACCCCATCTCCAAACTGACGCTTTGTCTGCCCACGGGAGGTGATACGTCCGTGTCATCAGTGATCATGTACCTGCATATAAGCATCGTAGGTCTGTCCACAGCAGCCACGTCCGTCCATAGTGCCAGAGCCATACTGGCCTGGCGCGTGGAAGTCAACAGACAGAAAGAAGATCAGAAAATGTGGCATTCCTTCGTCCAGGTTGACGATAAATGGACCAAACAGGACCAACAAGTGACCGTCAGCTTAACCATCATGATGGTGGTGTTCATGGCGTCGTTGTTGCCAGTGTTGCTGGACAGTGCGCTGGAGTTGAGGACTCGTGCACCTGTCGTCCACTACTTCACCTGGTGGACGTTAGTGGCTGCCAGCGCTACCAATCCCATCGTGTACAACCTGCGCAGCCAACAGTTCCGTAAAGACGTGCTCAGCCTGTTGTGTCACAGTCGCCATCTCTCTCACCAGCCTCCCTCTCGTCCTACTGACACCAACACGGAAACAAAAACCTGAGGCACCACTACTGTACATTCCTTACAAAGTAATTTTTACCTGACGTGTGAGGAGTGTGGGAGTCAAGGTGAGGGGTTAGTGGTGTGGGAGTCAAGGTGAGGGGTAGTGGTGTGGGAGTCAAGGTGAGGGGTAGTGGTGTGGGAGTCAAGGTGAGGGGTAGTGGTGTGGGAGTCAAGGTAATGTTCTATATCACTTACCTTCTCAGCCTATGGTACTGTTTTAATAATAATAATAATAATAATAATAATAATAATACCGGTAAGACGAAGGCTCTCAACAATAATAATAAATAGTAGTGATATTTTTGTGTGCTGAAGAGACCTGGCAAGTCGCCCATACAACTAGGGGTGACTCGCGGCCTCTATATACACGGGAGTCGAGGCCAAGTCATGTCAGTGTGTGTTGCAACGCGGTAGTGTACAGTAGTGTACGTGTGGTGATTCCCAGTAGATGGAAATGTTCTGGTTTTTGTGTTTGTGTGATATCAACAGAATGATAGATCAAATATATTTCACACAACTTGTGAACGGACGAAAAAGTGTTGAAATATAATTATGCGAATCAAGGAAATTTTGCACGGTGTTTTAACGAATACATTTTATATTATAATTATATTATTTACGAATTGTCTCGCTCCCACAAAATATGAAAATATGCTTTTATTTTCATGTGGGAGAAAATACAAAATTTTCCAGGAGAATTTAATGCAACATATTAATTTATCAAAAAATTGAATTGAAATTTTCATGAACGTTTATTATTATTATTATTATTATTATTATTATTATTACAGCATAAACAATAGCACTATTATAGATACTGTGTTTAATATCAATATCATTAACGAGAACTTTACTCGCTCTCCCGTGTCCCAGTGCGGCAGGGTGATAGGTAATAAGGGTGGGCAGGGGGAGAGGTAATGAGGGTGGGCAGGGGGAGGGGTAATGTGGGTGGGCAGGGGGAGGGGTAATGCTTGTGGGCAGTGATATCAGATAGTAAGAACTGAGGAATGGTTAGTGTTGAGAGAGGGGAGGTGTGAAACATAAGCTGATAC